GTTAGGGCGCGTCTTGTCCTAGGCAGTCCAACATGCTGACAGGTTAGTGACAGAGCTATGCTCAGCTCTTCATGAGAATAAACTGGTATGCAGAATGTTCAGCCACATCCTTAGAACATGTCCATAACCTGTGATGAAATCCCCTCTGTCTGGAAAGCAGTGAGCCTAGCAGAAGTGAAGCTAGCAGCTGGCGGAGTAGATTCTTAGAATAAATAAGGAAAATGAGACTTAAACTCCTTAGTGATAACAAGAGTAGTCAGGATGATCTTGACTCAAACATAAAGGATTCTATTTATTTTGAACATAGTTCCAGTTATATTTTCCTTTAGAGTGAACACACACACACACACACACACACACACACACACACACACACACATCTATATATATATATATAAATTAGTTTTTAACCAACATCAATGGTATCATTTTAATAAATATTTAAAAAATATTCTCTCTTAAGCCTCTTGGCTAATTCTGATGATTAATATATCAACAACTCATGATTTCATTTTTGGAAAATGGAGATTCAATCCCAGAGTATACTGAGGGAGAGTATTTATTTTTTTGAGGTAAATAAATATAGGTAAAATGAAACAGGAAAAATAGATTTGGGAGTACCAGTATTTTTCACAGGCACAGAACAGTGAGTCTCTGGGAGCCTTAGACAGACTGGCTTCACTGACTTGCCCAAGACTGGAAGCGCCAGTGAAGCGGGGGAGGCAGGCCTGGGCTGTAGGCCTGGCCCGAGCCATGGCTGAGAATCAAGGATGCATCCCCGATCTCCTTGAGGAGACTGTGGGCAAGACCAAACAGTGCTGTGGTAAGTGATGAAAGAGGGAAAGAACTGGGCCATTTACTGTCATTTTTATGATTGAGGGTTCATGAGTGGGGTTTGCACACATTAAATTATTTTCTTTGTCAAAATTTCTAAACAAAATATTAGGAAATCTTTGCCTTCCCCTTTTAATTTTTAAAATTTATTATCAATTTTTTACCTTAACAACTGATCCTCCAGACCTGATTTGGTTACGGTGAAATTGATGATGGTAACTTTAATGCACACCTGGAAGAGGAACATAGAGTGTATAAAAATGCTTAGATTCAGACTAATGAAAAGGGCTTACTTTATTAGAACATGGCTCATCATTGCCGCGGTGGATGTATCTCAGGGCTAACTGTGACCCTTATCACCCACCCAACACACACCAAGCACACTATGTCTTACAAAATCTTAAGGATTTTTCCTGCCGGTAGGAGTGACAATCTTGTTCTTCAAATGCCCAGTTATAGAATCCTACATGGTGTTTTAAGAAAAGGTGAGCCAGCAAAGAGTTAGAAAGACGCAGTTAGAGAGTTAATAGCTTGGGTTCACATTCCAGGGGTACCTGTTAGTGCATGTTTGATGAGGGACAAGCAGTTCACTCATGTGAACTTCACTCATGTGAACATGAGCTTCAGTTACTGATGTTTAAAAATTGGTATAATCATAGTAACAGCTCATAGTATTTGTGAGGACCAAATGAGGTCATAAAAATCACTTAGTTATAGTGACTTAGACATAGTTTGTTTTTGTTAAAAAGAAGCTATTATCGCTAAAAAATAGAACTTTATATATTTTTATGAAAAATTGTTGCTGTAATATAAACTTCTGACATTATTTGAATAAGTCAACAGCAGAGGAAAATATAATGAGAATTAAGTGTTTGAATGTTACACATTTTACATATGCTCTTCTTATTTAACCTTCATAACAAATCTTTGAAGTTGGCTTTATTTCTACTGTCTAGTTGATTGACTTGCGGATCCAGGAAATGGAATAATTTACCTGTAGTCATAGAGTTGGGTAAGGTGTGTGATGCTCCCTTTCAGAAGTTAAGTAGGTGAGAAATCAAAGGTTGTAAGTCAGCACATTCCTAAACTCTAAAATGGCACTTGGGACTAGAGGTCTGGCAGTGGCTGTGTAATTAAACCCCTGGAGCTGATTAAAAACAACAACAACCCTGACCTCGGCTTTTAATGGAATTGCTCTCATTGTATCCAAGCCTTGTGTCATTTCCATTCAACCCAGGCACATCTAGTGAAGACAGGCAGCTATGGGAAATTCAGCAACTAAAATGAAAATGATGCTGTTTGGAATCCCACATTCAAGGATTTTCTTCAATGGTTGGGGGAGGACGAGGAGTTGCCAGTCAGCAGAGTTTTCCAACAGGCAGCCTCTTCATCTGGCTGTATGCCACAGACATCTGCACACTTAAACATAGACGTGGCCCCTCCTCACCCCACAGACTCTCAATTAAGCTCTGACCCATTATCAGCACCACTAAGGGGGCACCAATGGCCTTGTGCTGAAGGAGGGAGGTGAATGCACAAAAGGGGGTGGTGCCCTGTGTTGTGAGGAGTGAGGGTTGGTGGATGGGGGAGGAGGGAGAAGGAGGGAACCAGGAGGGAGACGGCAAGAGGTACTTGGGGCAGTGAGACAGGACAGCAGCCTTGGGACTGAATGGGGAGGACTTTGAGCCCAACTAGATGGTGGGTAGAAGGGCAACTGGAATGAGATTCTTGACTCAGAAGAGAAGCAAGAGTGGAGGATAGTGGAAAGAAAGGGGTTTCAGAGAAAGAAGAGGATGCTGGAGCAGAGCTGTTCCCTGGGTCGGGGTGGGGGCCCACCAAACCTCAGAGACCCATCATACCCCAGTATCCGACTCAGGCTGGTAACTGTAGGTCTGCAGCTCATACCTCAGGCAGGTAGTGGGGATTCGGCAATTTGGTTGTCATATAGAACCTAAAACTTTTGTCATAGTCAATGTCTGAGTCTCCGAGGCGAATGAGCAGTCGCCCACCACTCACAAAAGTCTGCTTCAGAAGAATAGGTTCTAGAGCCGGGTCCAAGGTTTCTCTAAGCTTGAAAATTAAAACAAAACAAAACAAAACAAAAATATAAAAACAAGCCATTAAAAAGGATGACATCAACTTCTCCAAATTCTCCAAAGTAGATTAGGCCTCAAAATTTACTCTGAATGAACAATTTTTCAGTGATCTTAGAGATATGCCCTCTCACTATGACTAAAATTATACATTGTCCAGTGATGACCACCCAGAAATAGTCTGAGGAAATCAGAGCCCGTGAAGGCCGCACGTCTGTTTAGACTCATCTTCCCCACTCACTATTCACGCCCATGAGAAAACAGCGAGAGGAGAGTCGCTGCAGGGCGGGCCTTCGGCGGCCCAGCGACTGAGCTTCTCTGCTCTCCCGCCCGCTCTGGGTCAGGGTGGGCAGTCTGCAGCCTGAGTCCAGGTCTGGCCCTCTGTGGCTTGTTTTTATATGGTCCATGAGCTAAAAATGGTTTTTGCCTTCTTAAAAGGCTCTAAGAACAAACAAACCCACAGATGAAACCCCCAAACCAAGACAAACAAGAATATTTATTCAGAGAATATTTGTACAGAGACTGTATGTGGCCTGAAGAAACTCAAATATCTAGACCTTTACAGAAAAAGTTTGTGGACCTCTATTCCAGATGATACTTATTTTTTTTCTCCCTCAAAGCACATTTGATTGTTGGTAAGAACTTGGGCATGCAGATATTCATGTACCCAAAGACAAGCATCTTTATTTCAGCATGTATGTGATAGGGGCCCAGGGCCCAGGAGGTGTCAAAATTTTATTTTGATCCATAGTTAACGAATCTATTACACATTGTAACGTGGTATCCAAGCATGTAAATTCTTAAAACAAAAATTTACAAGAACTTACTACCCATGACACAATTTTATGTTCTTTAAGTTCTTTTCTATTAAAATATGTTGACTGAGATTGACTAATGATTTTATACCTATGAATGGGCAGAGACAAAGTTTGAAAATACTACCCTAGAAATGTAGAAAGCAGCTTCATGTCAAATGCTAATGATTCCAAGTCCCAGAAAGCAGGGAAGACATACTCCGAGGGTCCTGTTTCAGGATGGGGCCCTGGCCAAGGGTCTGTACGCACTCCAGGAGCACTCAGCTGTAGTTAAAAGGCTCTACTGTGCAGGGACAGAACGTCACAGAAAGTGTTTTGTCCACTGTCGTGAAAGAAGAAATTCTCTTAGGACCTCCTGTGTCATGAAGTAAACTGGTATTTAAAAATCCAGTTTGGAGTTAACCAACTGCACAAAAGATTCTGGGGGACCTCACCCTCTCCTGGGTCTGAAGGAGGCTGGGTCTGAAGGAGCTTCAGGATCTGAAGGAGGACCTGGAACCCACTACCTGTGTAGGTCAAGTCCAGAAGCCCCACATGGAGGCTTCTTGTGCTTTTGGTAGTTTGAGTTGGGAGTTTAACTTGCTGTGTATTTTCTAGAGAGTAAAGGGTGCTTGACAATTTATTTAACCTTTCTGTGCCTCAGTTTTCTCATTGGTAAAATGGGATAATAGTAACTATCTGGTAAAGTTGCAGTGAGGATTAAAGAGTTAATATCCATAAAATACCAACAACAGAGTCTGGTATGTAGTGAGCATTCAGTAAGTGGTAGCAGATATTAATATGAATTATTATTTCAGGCACTACGTCAGGGCAGCAGTAGCTGCCCCAGGTCACTGGTCTTTTCTGAGCTTCCCATCATTCAGCTGAAGCAGAGATACTTTTAGACATGGTTAAGCAGAGATGCAGCTCCCAGCTCACGCTTTGCTCACTCATTTTCTCTTATTATAACAGTAAATTCGAGAAATAAACCGCAATCATTTGTCAATCTCTTCTGTGCCCAAGGCCTTTGCACGTGCTGTCCCCTTTGCCTGGGAAGCCTTCTCTCTGAGCTCTTCACATGGCTAACTCATGATATAGGTCACAGCTCAAGTGCTACCACCTACAGCCATGCTTCTCAATTAGTTTCTGCTCCCCCACCTCACTGGCTATGTCAGCACTGGGCTTGTCCCTTCAAAGCCCTTACCACAAGGTCTCGTCCTTTCCTTCTCTCTCCTTTCCTCTCTCTTTTCTCTGTTTACTATCTCTGTCCCAAGATTTTGAGCTATTGAGGGCAAGAACCACATCTGTATCATTTGTCACTGATTCTCAGGTAAATGTTTTGAATGAATGAACAGTTTCAAAAAACATCCATTCTTGGAGTGATTCTGAAGCAATGGAGCCCTTAGACACAGCAAACATCTTTTTTTTTTTAAATGAGTTTGTTCTTATAGCACTTAGTCTAATTCTGATGTTATGTCTAAGTACAAAATAATGTTTATTCCCACTGGCTTGGTGTGTTTTACTGGCTTCACATCATTACTGTGTGTAAACAGTCCCTGATGGCACTATTGCTTTGAATGTTGGGGGCAGCTAACCCTCAAGAGTTACAATGGGGCCTGAGAGTCAGCAGTGTCAGAAAACAGCCCATTCCACTTAACACCAAAATTATATCTGGAAACAAAAAAAAAAAGTCCAATTAACAGATTGCTCCCTATATGAGTATCATTTAAGGAACAAAGCAATTGGTTTGACCAATGTGAAAGTGGAGTTGACTGGTGTCTTCAGCATGATTGCAGGCATGGCCTGTGTAGGGATATGATCTGAAATTTGGGAACTAACATGAGAAAAGAAAATTGAAAGGCAAACCTCTTCCAGTAGGACAGGTAAGCCAAGTCGGATTGAATTTTCAAGTGTCCGTAAGAAATTACTATCCGTCAGCTTAATGATCTTCAGACCACTTCTGCTCTCCTTGTTCCTTATCCAGCGGTTTGCCTGCATGAGAAAGCACAGAGTGAGGCTTTTGTTTTAGTTTTATTAATGGTTAGAAAGTGAAAGTTTTCAAAGTTTAGAAATTTTGTTCAGTCTAGAACAGGTTTGAAAGATAAAAGTAAAAAATAAATGAAAACACTAGTCCTCCTGAAAATAAAAACACCACTTTAACCCCACATTTGGGATTCTTTTTATTCAAATTGGGAACAGATAAAGAAAGGCCCCATCTGGGACAAAAGCCCATACCTCAGGTGTTCAAGTTCGTATCCTTGGCTTTCACTGCAGCTCCCTTTTCTATGCCCCATTTAGAACAATCTGACCCATGGATTTAGGAGTCAGATATTGGGATTCTACAAATATCAGGCAGGCTTTCCCTAAAATTCATCATACCCTGACTTCATTCTGACCCCTCAGACATTTTAGGAACAACGACTGTACAGGAATGAATTTCTTCTCCCCTAGAAAACAGAAAACTAATGGTCCACACCCTAAACAAAACCGATCAAGATCAAGATCAAGTATGAGAGCACTTGAATGCCTTCTTTCTTACTGTCCATCTCTGCAAAATGAGGAACTTGAACTAGAAGACTTCTAAACTCCTTTTTAGGCCTCAATCCTCAAGGTCTTGGTATGTTAAAGTCCACTTTTAGAATTTGTGAGAGCACAATATTAAGCAGAAGTAACAGGCTGGTCTTTATCTGAAGCATGGGTTACACACCTGATCTTGGGGATCGATCATCAAAGGCCACCGTCTCCCTTGAGTAACCAAAATGCCATTTTCCGTTGATATCAGGTCACGGGGCAGCCCGTCAGTGTTCCACTGACGTATTTCATAGGGATCGCCAAGAATGTTAATGAGACTGAAGGAAGGGTTGATTGGGATCTCCAGAGACTGACAGTCGAGGATCCAACATGCTATAAGCTGTAGAAGGAGGAAGACTTACATGTGTAGTCAGTACATTCAGTAAATGGGGAAACACACAAAATGTCCAGTGATGAGTAAGTCCTACTAGTCTCTATGGGAACCCTGGCATCGGAGCCGGGCACACAAGGCATGAACCAGAAATCAGGAGGTCTGGGGCCTGGCCCTATTCGGTTAACTAACTGTGGCTTCAGGCACAGTGCTCCTCATGTCTGGACCTCAGTTTTCTCATGTATAAATGACAAGGGTTGTCAGATGCTCTCCAGCCAGGGGTGTATTGCCTCTCTTGGGAGGGTCTGAAGCCCCCGGAGAAGTCTGGGAGTTTCACGATGACTGTGGTGTACTGGGGATTAGTTGGGGCAGAGGGATGCATGTTATCTTCTCCAGTGAGCGGTGCAGTCATGCACAACAGACAACTGTTTGTTCCCAAGAGCGCTGCTGGTACCAGAACACCCCTGAGCTCCCATAGAGTCTGTATGAGTGCTATCCTAACTCGGTTTTTAAACTCAAGACTGGGAAAACCCTTTTAGGAAAGCATTTCATAAAAATGGCTCAAAAATCTCTTAAATAACTTAGTTTCCTGTGTCTGCCCATTGCCAAGCCCCTTGTAACTATCTCACCAATTCAGAGCACTACATCCTGGCTGGCTTTAAATGCCACTTCTGATGCTAAGAGTCAGGGACGCCCTACCCCTTTTCCTCCCATTGGGTTCTTGTGCTGTGTAAGTAAGTGAGTAACTTTCTTCGGCAGGAAAGGAAAGGAAGGAATGTGTTATGGAAGGCCTGGGGTAGCCCCTTGCTGGCTGACAGAGGCAGAGGGCTGTGGAATGCATAAATAAGTTTTCATTATGAAGAACCTTCACAGCGGAGAGCCTTCTAAACTCAGTTTCCTTCTAAACTCAGAGAAAACACAGAGATGTCCCCACCCTCCCTCAGTTTCAGCAGCTTTGCACCACTCCTCACAGAGGGCAAATCTCCTTACCGACTGCCTGTACTGGGCTGTGAAGGCCCCGTGGTAGGCTACACAAGCTGCTGCTATGAACACATTCCCGATGATATTCGATATCTCTTCATTGAATTTCTGGATGCTTTCTTCCCATCGAACTTGCTCATCTTCTAATGCAACTGTCAGCTTCCCAGCATGTACGAGACGTGCCTTTGTCAGGGCCATAGTCTTCACTGGAAAATTTATGAAAATCAGGTTATGTATTCAATATTTTCCTAAACTATAAGAAGTTTACTCACTTGCTTCTGTTTACAGTGGAATTAGCATTATTTAGCTAATGATAACGATACATCTGTCTGAAACCTCACATTAAATCAGCATTATTTCCCATTTCAGAACCAAGCCCAAGTTTGCCTCATCCCTGCACAGACCTCCTTTTTGATATTCTATTGTTCTGGCTGAAGACAGCACTCTCTCTGTGCCCCTGTACTATTTGTCTCACTGATCAAGATTATACGCGGCTTTGTGTTATAATGTGACTTGCCCCAACGAGTCTTACTCAGATATAAAGCTGGATGAATATAAACAGTATTTGCAGAAGTTGAATATGTACAATATACACAGTTCTAATTTTATACTAGAAGGCTAATGCAATCCACCTAATGGAAATATGCCCTACATGTTGGTTGAAAGCTGACATTTGACTACCTGAACACTAACTACTTTTGAAAATTGGGCACTTCCTGACCAACAGAGATTTTAGAAGTTACTTACCCAAACTCTCTTTTTCATTCACACTTTTGTCAAATTTGTCTTGTAAGACCTGTATTTTATCTTCCACTTGTTTCAGTAATGCTTGCTTTTCTCTCAGAGTAGCCATAGTAATATCAAGTTCAGCCTAATAAAATCAAGTAAATATTTAAGAATAGGTCCCAAAAGAAGGCCCAAATTGAATTTGTCAGTTTCTAATAGATCCCAAAAAAAGACCTTATGTTCCCTTTTTCATGTCTTAAAAGATTTTGGTATGATGCAGAAAGTTAAAATAAATATAAAATAGAATAATAGATGAACAGAAGCAAACAGAACAAAATGAAACAAAATGAAAACAAAGCCCATCAAAATAAATCGTAGAAGGATTACAGACACAGATGTACTACACATTTGGGATGAATTGGTTACTTCAATGGATTATTAACTTTCTGTAATGAAACAACTGAAATATTCATGCAATAGTGGAAACTAATCTTTCCTACCTAGTACCCTGGAGTGGGAATCTGCAAGCTATAGCCTGCAGGCCAAATCCAGGCTGCTGCCTGTTTTCATACAGTTTGTGAGCTATGAATGGTTTTATATTGTTAAATGGTTGGGGGAACGATCAAAAGAATAATAATATTTCATGACATCCAATCATTGTATGCAATTTGAATTCCAGTATCCATAAGTAAGTTATATTGGAACAGGGCCATGCTTATTCATGTGATTATTGTAGATGGCTGTTTTTGTGCTGCAACAACAGAGTTGAATAATTGCAACAGAGACTGTATAGCTAGCAAAGCTTAAAGTACCTGCTCTCTGTATCTTTCTAGAAAAAGTTCACTGGCCTGTGCTCTATGGCCACAGTTCTTTTGGTTGCCTGCTCTACTGAAAGATCATTCTCTGTTCTGCGGGGCACCTTACATCTAATTGTGGGGTAACCTGATTTTTAGAACCTCAGATGACAACATCAAGTGTGGTAATAGTTAGCGAATGGAAACATAAAAAAGCACCTAAAAATACCATAGGTCTGGTAATAAAATATATGGAGGACTCATTCTCTTTTTATGCTGAAAGGTGGCTGATTTTAGGGGTCATTTCAAATAACATTTTTCAGCCATTTTTTTTTAAAAAAAACTAATTTTCAAGAGCTTTGTTTCTATAGTGTGTGGTCCCAGTGGCATGATAAAGGGAGCTTGCATGATTAAAGGAGAATGGACTTTAATGCTACAGAAATACCAAAATGCAGATAGTGTACCTGTGCAGCATGGAGTTTTTGTCTCTTTGGTTCGACTTCTTTGACTACCCGGGAGTACAAATCCATTGCTCTTACCCACATGCACATGGATTTACATGCTTTGGACACTTTCTCTACTTTTTCAGGCACAAAATCAGGATTATTAATATACTTCTGAAGCTTTGCCAATATCTGAGGCTTTATGTTTTCCTTATCATATTCTAAAAGTCTTCTTAGGAAGTTAGAGTCACCAAGAAGTTGCTTTGCTGTTGGCCAATCAGGCCTGAAAGACAGATGCGTAAGTTAATAGCATTGTAATAAACTAATATAAAAAACAAAGGAAATGTATTGTTTTGAGAACATTAAGACAGTATCTTAATAAGTAGATAGTTTTAATCTCAATACTATAATGTCAGTAATTCGTAGTTATGTGCACCACAACTCACAGGGACACAGGAATTGAATAACTGGTGTTCCATACAACCTAATTTTGGTAGAGAAAGAATTATAAAGTCATAGAATTTAAGAAATGTTAAGAATTTTAAAAGTAAGCTTTATTTTTAAAATGCCCCAGGAGTTCTTATTTTTACCTCCTTTGCCTTAGTTTAGATCTTTAAAATCTGCCAGAACACCACTGTCACCTTTTAACTCTTTCTATGTCTGTCAGTTGAACTTGCCCCTTAACTTGGCCAAACTGGTTTTCTTCACAGGAAAATCTGATTATGTTGAAAATGTTCAGTGGTTCTCAGTCTTTTCCAGCCAGAGCTGTCCATCTGGGCTTTGCAGAGTTCCCAGGCCCCCTCACAGTGCTGGCCAGAAGGTCAGTAGGGAAGCCTGGCAGGGAATACTCTGGCCCTCTACCTTCACTGTGATCAGTTTTTCAAAGAAAGGTTTCTTTCATTTCTTATTGAAAAATGATTGAATTACTAAAGAAAGCTGGAAAAACACATATCTCCAAGACGAAATGCGAACTGTTTGGCACAGCAAACAAGACCGATCATGATGTAGTGCTCTCCTGCCCAGCCCCACCCATTCTAAGAGCATCAAAGGTCCCTGAACTCTTCCCATGGTCCCCCTCTCTCCCTGAACATCATCTCCAGAGAAACCTGCTCACACCTCCCCAGGGCACTCTTTTCCTGGCACTCTTACTACTGTGTAACTCTTGTGTGTCTTGAAATTACTATTTTTTACATCTGTCTCCCTACTGTACTATATAGGGAAGAACTTTATATCATTTATCATTTAGTACAAAATAGATGTTCAAAAAAATGCTTGTTGAATCAATTTCTTGAATGAGTGACTGAATCAATGAGAAGGTGAAGAGAATGAGAACATAAAAATGAAAATGGAGAAAAACAGCGAAGAACTTTCACCAGGTATTTTGGTAATACATGATTCTGAATTACTCACTTGGCATTCAAAAGAATGGAAATTGCTTCCATAACAGTCATGACCAAATCTGGGGGCTTTGTAAAAACTCTGATTTCGGATATATCTGCTTTATCTAAAGAATCCAGTGCTTTATTAGCAGCATCAAGTGCAGGTAGAGCTTCTTCCAGATCTCTCTGAGCATCATCAGCTATGGCCTGGGTTTCCTCAGCTTTCACTTTTGCTGTAGCTTCATCTTCTTGCACAGTGTTACGGACCTAACCATTGAAATACAATTGCTTAAGTGGCCTCAATATTTGAATTTTTCAAGACGAAATGCGAACTGTTTGGCACAGCAAACAAGACCGATCATGATGTAGTGCTCTCCTGCCCAGCCCCACCCATTCTAAGAGCATCAAAGGTCCCTGAACTCTTCCCATGGTCCCCCTCTCTCCCTGAACATCATCTCCAGAGAAACCTGGTCACACCTCCCCAGGGCACTCTTTTCCTGGCACTCTTACTACTGTGTAACTCTTGTGTGTCTTGAAATTACTATTTTTTACATCTGTCTCCCTACTGTACTATATAGGGAAGAACTTTATATCATTTATCATTTAGTACAAAATAGATGTTCAAAAAAATGCTTGTTGAATCAATTTCTTGAATGAGTGACTGAATCAATGAGAAGGTGAAGAGAATGAGAACATAAAAATGAAAATGGAGAAAAACAGCGAAGAACTTTCACCAGGTATTTTGGTAATACATGATTCTGAATTACTCACTTGGCATTCAAAAGAATGGAAATTGCTTCCATAACAGTCATGACCAAATCTGGGGGCTTTGTAAAAACTCTGATTTCGGATATATCTGCTTTATCTAAAGAATCCAGTGCTTTATTAGCAGCATCAAGTGCAGGTAGAGCTTCTTCCAGATCTCTCTGAGCATCATCAGCTATGGCCTGGGTTTCCTCAGCTTTCACTTTTGCTGTAGCTTCATCTTCTTGCACAGTGTTACGGACCTAACCATTGAAATACAATTGCTTAAGTGGCCTCAATATTTGAATTTTGATGTTTAAAAGCAAAACCAATAATAATGAGTCATATTTGCCCCCAAACCAATGATGAAAGAGGAATTGCTATATTATATATTATGCTCTCCTTTGTTCTTCTCATGCTATGTTGCTAGAACAATGGAGACAAAGTTATTAGAGCAAAGAGCTCCTTAGGAAAAGAATAGCTGTCTTTTCCTTGCAGTAGTATTTTTCTCAAAACTCTCTTCCACTGTTTGGATTCACTCATTCTCAAGGAGAGAACCAGGCTGATTTATTGAAGGGAGGTTGTTCATAACCTAGAAGCATTGCTAAACTTTTTTATCACTTAATTATTTCGATCACATATAAAATTTAAAAATCCAATCATATTTAATTGTATACAAGTGGTAAGTTGCTGATCAAAGCCTTCTCTCCCATGTCAGGCAATGCGGCATACCTGATCGGCATTTTCTTGATCCACTGCCAATTTATCCATCAAGGCTTCAACATCTTGTGATTTTGTTAAAAGGACAGGTTCTAAAGCTGAAAGATCTAATTTCATTTTATCTACTAGTACGTTTGTTTCTAATAGCTTTGTGAGACCATTCTTCACCCGGTCACGTGCCTAGATGACAATGAAAATATCTATTATAATGGGTATTATGAACTATAACTTTACTGGCATCTGTTACTCATGTACTAGAATTTTACATCTACTGCCCAACAGTCTGTAACACTTAAAACTGTGAATGTGCAGAAGTCTTCCAGGTAACAGAGCTCTAGGAAATGGCCATGACATTGACTGTGGTGGGTTTTGGTTCATGCCGCTGATGACTGAAGTGGGATATCACTGGACTGTGAGTTCAGTGAGGGCACACACTGTATTACTTTTATTCCCTGTGGTAGTTTGGTAGCATGTTGCATGAATGAGGGACAAGTTCATATAAAAATTTCTGGAGACTACAGCTCTTGGAGTTTGTTTCCTCAAGATGGGTCAGTAGTGCTGAGAACCTACAGGGACATGGTGTCCTGGGTACTTAGTTCTGGTTTTTGGTTCTGAACTTTTCTCCCCAGTGGTAGGACACTCTTAACTAGAATCAAAGGGGCTGCATCTGGTAGTCTGAGGTACCTGGGAATAACTTTTTTGAAAGTGAGTCAGAAAGTTTGTTCAAATTGGCAGATTTCAAAATATCTGTCAAGTTATGTACAAAGCCTGCATTTATTTATCATGTTAAAAAAATCCTCTGAAAAACAAAAAAAAATCTAAATGGTAAATGCTTCCATTTTTACTGAATTTAAAATTAGAAAATTTTAGGTTGTGCTAATAGCCTGATGATGATGATGGTAGGCACTGTTTCCTGAGTGCCTCATATGCATCAGATCATAATCCAAGCACTTCATAAACAGTGTCTTATTTAAATTCCACAGCAATCCAAGAGGTAGATATAGATATTTTTAAGCCTTATTTTCTGCTAAGGCTTAGAAAAATTACAAAACACACTCAGGGTTGTGCAGCAAGAAAGAGACAGAGCATAGGTTGTACACAGTCTGGCTGACACCAAAGTCCTTGCTCTTAATGTGAACCACTGACACATGTTAGACCACCCAAACCCATCTCCATTGCTTAATAAAAGCTTTTCCTTCTTATTAAACTCTGCAGAGATGACTAGTTCTCTGTTTAAGATGCTGTTGCAATGTCCATATCATTCCAGTGAGTCAAGGACACTTACATAGGTGATAGAAGACAAAAATATAAATGTCAAGTAAGAGGGAGGCCTCTGGATCAACAGCTTGAGACCCTTTTTTGTCATATGGTAGGTTATCAAGGGCACAGGTCAGGATGGAGAGGGCTCTGGCAGGTAAGATGGCACAAAGATCTTTCACTCATTCTGGCAAAAATTTTGAGTTCAAGCAAAAGTTTTCTAAGTGATAATATTAAACTTACTGAAACCAACTGCTTCCTTTTTTCAGTCAACATAGACAGGTAGAGATTGATAAGCTCCAAGTAGGAGGTGGGTGTTGTGTAGTACCGTCTCCGGAGCTCTGTGTAATAGCGATCTGCCATATCAGAGACACTCAGGTGAACATTCACACACATGAGGGAAAGCTTTTCTTTCAGTTCTTCATTTCCAGCATCGACATGTGAGAAAAATGTCTTTGATACAGAAAGAAGTGCTTCTCTGGGCCACTATGAAGAAAGACATATGGAGAATCTCTTGCTCATTTCCATAATATACAACTTAAGAAAAATATATTTCTCAGGAGCTCTTGTCTTGTCCTCCCTTTCACCTAGTTAACTCCTACTTGTGTCTATGAAGTTTAACGAACTGAATGGCTATGTTCATTAGAGAGGGGTCTGAGTCTGCACTGCTTGCCCCCAGCACAGTATCGGCACACAGAAGTTGTTTCATAAATATTTGTTGATTGATTGAATATATGATTGGGTGTCTTTAGAATAATTCCATGAGTAAAATCAAAGTACCTCATGTCCTCACTCTGTTTATTATGCAATTTGGACTTCAGGTCTATTATTATAATCGCTGTCCTATTCACCTCGATTCCTTCATTCCTCTCTTGTTTCTTCGAGCTTACCAGTACCTTAAGTAAAATGCAACTCTGTCACCCCAGTCTGTGACTGTGTAGTTGAGCATGGCTGGAGAAAACCACACAGCCATGCTGACTGGCTTTGCTTTAAATTTATGACAACAGACTCGAGACGGTTCTTAGTGCTGCCAGGAATGCTTCTACACTTTTTAATATATCACTCTGCTAAGTATTTCACACCCTATACTACTTCCTCAGATTAGTAACACTCCCTCTTTCCTCTTCATTCTCAGCTGATGACCTTGCTTCCAATATCACTAAGAAAACAGAAGCAATGAAAACAGAACTTCAATGAGTTCTCCCTCTCATATCTTCCCATCTTTCTGCATCTGTGCTGATATATTCTATCTATTCCCTCCTGTTACTCTGGAGTAAACCATGCATGCTCCCTGCCTAGGTCGGCACTTTCATTGATGACTCATTCCTGTCCCTTCTTGCCTATTCAGTGACATTGGTCCAAGAATGCTTAACTCTTGCCTGCTGCACCATCAACACATTTCTCTTTCCTGGATAATTTCCATTAGCAACACCTGTGCTGTTTGTGTTTCCCACTTAAAAATTATTTTCTCTTGATATCACATACTCTTCAAGCTATTTGTTACTCATCCCTTGGTGTTCCTTTGGGGCAAAGTCTTTGAAAGTGTTGCTTATGTTCCCTGTCTCTGATTTCTCTTCCCTCTTCTCTTTTGAACATTCTCCCCCATCACTCCACTGATACAGCTCTTGTCAAGATCACTGATAACTTCTACACTATTAAATTCAGCAGTCTCCTCTTCCTTTATAAATTTCATTTTGGTTTTGTTTGATGATTGTTTTAGTCATCCCTTTTATATGAGTAAATTCCTAGTGGGCTTTAAAGCTAATACAGGTACCTTGAGTTACTGTTGGACAATGTGTTACCCTTTAAAATCAAACAGTCCAACTTCTTAGAGGGATATTCTGCAATGTTACCTACTTGGACAAACCAATCAATGGTGCAGCAGTTCACAAGGGATGGAAACATCCGGCATCGGGACCGGAAGGCCTCCCCAACAGGGCTCATGCACAGAACAATATGCAGCTTCTGACGTACTCTGCTGATAAAGTACTGAAACACCTGACAAAAGGAAACATATTTTTCAATTTAAACACATGGAGACCAAACAGTATGTTACTAAACAACCAATGGGTCTATGCAGAAATCAACGAGGAAATAAAAAACATACCTTGGGCAAATGAAAATGGAAATACAACTTTCCAAAATCTATGGGATGTAGCAAAACCAGTTATTAGAGGGAAGTTCATAGTGATACAGACCTACCTCAAGAAATAAGAAAAATCCCAACTAAACTATCTAACTTAACCTAAAGGTAAAAAGAACAAAGAAAATCCAAAGTTAGTAGAAGGAAGGAAATAATAAAGGTCAGAAAGGAAATACATAAAATGGACAAAAAAATAGAAAAGATCAATGAAACTAAAAGCTGGTTCTTTGAAAAGATAAACAAGTTGACAAACTTCTAGTCATACTCATCAAGAAAGAAAAAAGAGAGGACCTAAATAAATAAAATAAGAAATGAAGGAGAGGGCACAACTGACACCACAGAAATACAAAGGATTGTGTGAATAATTATACTCAACAAATTAGAAAACCTAGAAGAAATGGATAAATTCTCAGAGATATTCAACCTTTCAAGACTGAAATATGAAGAAATGGAAAATCTGAATAGACTGATTATAAGTAATGAAATTGAGTCAGTAATTCAAAAACTGCCAAAAAACAAAATTCCAGAACCAGATGGCTTCACAGGTGAACTCTATCAAACATTTAAAGAAGAGTTAGTACCTATTCTCAAATTATTCCAAAAAAAAAAGAGGGAGGCATGTTTCCGAACTCATTTTATGAGACCAGCATTACTCCAGTACCAAAACCAAAGACACCACAAAAAGCAAAAATTAGAGGCAATATCCCCTGATAAACATAGATGCAAAAATTCTCAACAAAGTATTAGCAAACCAAATTCAACAGCATTAAAGGGATCATATACCATGATCAGGTAGGATTTATTCCAGGATTCAAGGATGATTCAGTATGAAGCAACTGACATGATACATCATTCTAAGTGAAATAAATTAGAGAAGGACAAATACCATATGATTTCACTTATGTGTAGAATCTAAAAAACAAACAACAAAATAAAAATAAACTCATAATTTCAGGGAACATACTGTTGGTTACCAGAGGTGGGAGGGATTAGTGGGTGGGTGAAATAGGTGAAGGGGATTAAGAGGTACAAACTTCCAGATATGAAATAAATAAGTCATGGGAATGTAATATACAGCATGGGGAATATAGTCAGTAATATTGTAATAATAACTTTGTATGATGACAAACGGTAATCATGGGGATCATTTCAGAATGTATAAAAATATTGAATCAGTATGATGTACTCCTGAAACCAACAGGAGTATGTCAATTATATTTACATAAACATAAAATAAAATAGGATGAAGCAACAATGAAAATAAGTGTCAGGAAATGCATCTACATCTACCAATATCAAATAAAAACGTTAGTATCATAGATGTGTGAACTGTTTTGTTCAGCATCCATTCCAACCTCTTTTTCCCATGCAGTCTGGTAAGATTAGAAATGACATTTTGCAGACTATTGCAACTAGTCTTTTGGATGTGATGTTGGTCCTCCTCATCAGCATATTTAAGGAGACCCGTTGAAGTACTCATATAAGGTTTAGCTTTGGGGTAGAAGACCACTGGGAGAGAAAGACAGGATGCAGGGCAACCACTTTTGCAGATGCAGAGTCTGGCAGAAGGGGCATGGACCTGGAGGTGCTATCTTCAGCGGTGGCTCCTACTGCAACTGCCTCCTGACATGGGGGATTGCAGAGCTTTGGAGTTGGCCACTGAAGCAACAGCAGGCCAGTTGGTTCAGTGGCTTCCGGGCTCACCCCGAGTGGCTGTGGTTAGAGGCTGCAGTTTACTTGACCACTGACTTGTGCAGTGTGTATTTTATATTCACTCCAAGGAATTCAGCCTGGAATCCCTTTCTCTGGGCTTCCCAACTCTCTTGTGTTCTCTGAATAAACCCATTTCTACTTGCTTTAGAGGAAGTAGACCCTACTGTCCACACCTGTAAGCCCTGACCTAGCAGTGGAGGAAATTCTCATGAAAAGACACACATGACATGGGAAATAAGGGCAGAAAAAGTTACAGGGGGTGGAGGAAAACAAAGAGCATGGGGCTAGACAGATACCATATGGAATGTAGTATTGTCAGGGAAACGGAAGTGGACAGCAGCTTTGTTGTTCTGGAGAGAAGGGGAGGGAGAGAAAATGCATTTCTGTTTTAGTTGTGCTATAACCTTGCTGATAGGCAAGGGAGTCAAAAGTACTGGACTCCTCGTGGAGGGCACTGAAGGTGTGTGAAATAAATTTGTGTTTAAAGAAGCATATGATGAATTGTCCAATTTGGACAAGACTATGATCTCCCTGGGGTAGTAGGGTTTCTGTTTTTGGTTTTCCATGGACCTTTATGGAAGCCTGGCAAACCATTGCTTTGAATGCAGGTAATAAAATACATAGAATTACAAAGGAGACCATTTATATTGAAAAAAATTCTATCCATGTACTTCTTAAGGGGATCTGTGGACCATTAAAAAAAAGGATAACACAATGTTATGTTTTAGAAAGCCATATAACCACCTGACATGGCCTACCTCATCTCTATTCCCCTCAGAAATTCCTGCTTCTTTTGCTCTTGGTCTGGTGGCTGCTAAAACCTGCTCCAGTTCATCCTTTTCAAATAAATTAGGCACTTCACCTGAGTTCAGGATGTTATTTATATCTTCTAGGAACTCTTCCACTACAATCTGTAGGAGAAAGTCACTCAATCATTATACATTTATTACATGTAAATTACAAAGCAAATATTTAATCAAAATTCACATTAATTTTATATTTAAGAAAAGATAAGTTAAAATTAGAATCTTAATATTCTAACAGCAGTACATCGATTTTTAATTTTTTCTTCCTTTTGTTTCTTAAAAGGCTTTCATCTTTTACATGTTTCAAGTCATTTGTGTAAACATTTTATATTCTGCCCCTTTCAGCTAACATTTTATCATAAATATTAATCCATAATTCTGTAGAGCTCTCATCATATTTATAACCATTACTGGGAGCATAACATACCACTGAGCTGATGTGCCACAATTTACATAGATTTAGATGACTTACAGTCTTGTTTATATTTTTAAGAACATATTTAGGCCTATAGCTATTCTCCCCATTTGTATTATGTCCTGGGAATAAATTGCTAGGAGTGAGATCAGCAATTAGATTGGAGAAATATTTTCTGGATTTTGAAGATCTTAAAATTTCCCATTCAATTAAAGTATGACTTCATTAACCTTTAACATTTTTTTGTTAATTTGGGGAATGTACATGTTTTGTGTGGGAGAATTTGATTTGCAGTTCTTTGATTATTAGCAAGGGCAAATATTCTACACTTATTATTTTTCATGAAAATAATCTGTTCAAACTTTGTAACCATTCATTCATATATTGTGATTTTCTTTTAAATTTGAATAATTTTCATATTATAAAATGAACCTTTTATGTGTAATAATTGATGCAAATATTTTAAAATATATTATTTATCCTTTTGTTTCAGATAACTTTTAAGTTTTATAAGAGTCTGAGTCCTATATATTGAACGGTGACAAAGTATCTGTTATTTTATCTGCTTCATTTGTAACTTGGTTTTTCTTGAATAAACTTGCCATAATTGTGTCTGTTAATTTTACCCTAGAAAAAAATGCTAATTCTCTTTGTCCTAATTTATTTATTTTTGCTTTATCTTATTGTTTCCTTTTCCTATTTTTCTTGGTGCTTTCTGGTAAGTGTTATTTTCCTAAAGTTAAAATCAACTAATTTCTGAACTTTCTAATTTTTGATTCATACTATAAACTTAATTCTAAGAACTGTTTGGTTGCATTCGATAGATTTCATTTCCCCTGTTCTTTAAATAGAGATTTTAATTTTGATGTTTTTGACTCAAGAGTTCCTTACGTGAATGTTTTAAAGTCCTGAACCACATCATTATTTCTCCTTTGATTAAAGCATGGAAAAAGAATGTTGCCCGCACAGTTTATGTTTTTTTGAATTTATTGAACATTTCTTTAAACCTAAAATATGAAAAATTTTTGTACAGTAATATTAGAAAATGTTTGTTTTCTCTGTAGAATGTAAAGTGTAGTATATAGCCATTAATTCCAGCCTAGAAATTATAGTCTTCATATTTTCTAAACATACTTATTTCTACTTTGTATTTTGCTAGAAATAGCAAATTAAACTATTTTAACATCTTGCTTCTCTCAGTTTCTTCTCATATTTGTAACAGTTTTACATAAATATACATACACATATTAATTTTAATTATGGTTATGTTTACTCTTCACTAATATAGAACATTTGAGATTGATTAAGGATTTCAACAGAACATAATAGTCTTTTTGTTTGTTTACAGTGGAGCAAGATAATTTGCCTTGATCTTTGGTGCCGTAACACTTAGAGACTTTTTATATAATTTGTTTAATTTTTAAGAGCAATGTTAAAATTCTATGAGAAATATTTTAATTTTAGAATAATTAGAAACTATAAACACAATTAAGAAAACAAAAATTCCCTCACAATCCCATGACCCATTTTCTATTTTTTAAATAAATATGGCATAGCTGTTTAGATGTACATTAAGTCCAAGAGCCTATGTGCTAGATGATTGTATACATATTATAATAACACATCATAAACATTTTTTACAATAGTTAATGTGTTTATTTCTACAATGTTATTTATAAGTTTTTTAGAGTGCCCTATTATATGATGCCATAATTTACTTGTGTGACTCTCTCATTGAACAGTGAGGCTATTTCAAATTAACTATTACTTAAAAATAGTATAATAGATATTTCCTGTACATACAACTTTGAATGTAGCTCTGATTAGAAATAATAGAAATTTAAGGCTTTATCTATATTACTGATTACTTTCCAGAATGATTTTGCTCATTCATAATCCACCAGTGAGATCTAAGCAAGGCCTGTTTCCAGACACCTTTGTCAACACTGCATAATATGATTTTTTTAACCCCTAAATTATTTTTTAATGAACTTCCTATTCACATCCTATCACATTTTTATATTTCTTCTACTAGTGTGCCAGTCTCTTCCTTTTTAATAAAGTTTATTTTTATTTATTTATTTTCTAGATTTATTGAGATATTATTAACATACAACATTGTGTAAATTTAAGGTATATAATGTGCTGATTTGATTCACTTATATTGCAAAATGATTACCACCATAGTGTTAGCTAACATCTTTATCACATCACATCACCGTTTTGTTTTGGTAGTGAGAACATTTAAGGTTTACTGTTTTAGCAACTTTCAAATATTTAATACAGCATTGTTGAATATATAGTCACCATGCTGTACATTAGATCCTTAGAACTTAATTCATCTTATAATTGGAAGCTGATTTCATCTCCCTATTTCTTCCATCCCCCACCCCCAACCAGTCCCCTGTTAAACCCTACTCTACTTTCTTTTTTATATTCCACATATAAGTGATATCATACGGTATTTACTTTTCTCTATTGATTATTGCACTTATCTTAATGCCCTCAGGGTTCACCTGTATTGTTGCAAACAACAGGATTTCCTTCTTTCTCATGAGTGAACAATACTCCAATGTATGTATAAATTATATACATACACTGGTGAGCACTTAGGTTGTTTCCATATCTTGGTTATTATGAATAATGCTGCAATGAACATGGGTGTTCAGATATGTTTTCAAGATCATTTACATGTTCTTCAGCTATATATCCAGAAGTAGGATGCTGGATATTACAGTAGTTTTATATTTAATGTTTTGAAGAACTTCCATACTGTATTTTCCATAGTGCACAAATTTACATTCCCACCAAGAATGTATGAAAGTTCCCATTTCTCCACAGCCTTGTTGAGACTTAACTATTTCTTGTCTTTTTGATGATAGCTATGGTAGGTTGTATGCTCTATGATTTTATCCTTTTCTCCCAGGTTACCCAATTTGCTGGTATATAATTATGTAAAGTAACATCTCATTGTGGTTTTGATTTGTATTTTCCTGAAGATTAGTGATGTTAAGTACCTTTTCATGTACCTATTGATCATTTGTATATCTTCTTTGGTAAAATGTCTGTTCAGGTCCTCTGTCCATTAAAAAATTTTTTTTTGCAGTTAAGTTATATGAATTCTTTACATATATTGCATATCAACCCCTTATCAGATATATGATATTCAAATATTTTCTTCCACTCTGTAGGTTGCCTTTTCATTTGGTTTCTTTTGCTGTGCAAAAGCTTTTAAATTTGGTATAGTCCCTCCTTTAAAACATTTTTTGCTTTGTTGTCATATTCAAAAGTTGCTGCCAAGACTATGTCAAGAAACATTTCTCCTGTATTTTCTTTTAGGGGTTTTACAGTTTCAGGTCCTAAATTTAAGTCTTTAATCCATTTTGAGTTCATTTTGATTGTTGTGAGTGGTACAAGATATGGTCCAATTTCATTCTGCATAGCGGTTTCCAGTTTTCCCAATACCATTTATTAAAGAGACTATTTTTTCCCCATCGGGTGTTCTTGGCTGTCTCATCAAATATTCACCAACTGTATATGGGAGGGTTTATTTCTGGGTTCTCAATTTTGTTCCATTGGTCTGTGTGTCTTTTTATGTCAGTACCATACTCTTTTGATTACTATAGATTTGAAGTATAGTTTGCAATCAGGAAGTGTGATGCCTCCAGCTTTGTTCTTCTTGGGATTGCTTTGGCTATTTGGGGTTTCTTGGGGTTCCATACAAATTTTAGTAGTTTTTGTTATATTTCTGTGAAAAGTGTCATTGAAATTTTGATAGGGATTGTATTGAATCTGTAGATTGCTTTGAGTAATATGGGAATTTTAACAGCATTAATTCTTCTTGTCCATGAATTGGGATACCTTTACATTTATTTGTGTCTTTTTTGATTCCTTTTATCAATATCTTACAGTTTTAAGTGTAGAGATGTTTCACCATAATGGTTAAATTTATTTCATAGTATTGCATTGTTTCTGATGCTATTGTAAAAAGATAATTTTTATTTCATTTTTCAGATAATTTGTTAGTGTGTAAAAACACTACAGATTTTGTATGTTCACTTTGTATCCTGCAACTTTATTGAATTCACTGATTAGATCTAGTAGTTTCTTGGTAAAATCTTTAGGATTTTATTTATATAAATCACGTCATCTTCAAATAGAGAAAATTTTACTTCTTCTCTTCCAATTCTGATGCCTCTTATTTTTCTTGCCAGTTCTGAGTCCTTCCTCTAGTACTGTGTTGAATAGGAATGGTAAGAGTAGGCACCCTTGTCTTCTTCCTTATCTTAGAGGAAAAGCTTTCAACTTTCTACCATTAAGTATGTTAGCTGCCAGCTTCTCATATATGGCCTTTATTATGTTTAGGTCCATCCTTTCTATGCCTAATTTGTTAAGGGTTTTTATTAAATGCTTTTTATGTGTCTATTGAAAAGGTCATGATTTTTTTCTTTCATTCATGGTGAATGATTTCATTTCATTCATATATCTTGGTGAATTATCCTTCTAATGTGCTGCTGAAACTGTTTTTGTTTGAGAATTTTTGCATGTATATTCATCAGGGAAATTATCTGTAATTTTCTTTTCTTGTCATGTCCTTTACTGGCTTTTGCATCAGGGTAATGCTGGTCCTGTGAAATGAGTTTGGGAGTGTTCTCAGCTTTTTGATTTTTTGAACTTCCGGATGGACTGGCATTAATTCTTGACATGTTTAGTAAAATTCACCAATGAAGACATCTGGTCCTGGATTTTTTTTGTTGGGAGATTTTTGATTACTGGTTCAATCTCCTTACTAGCAATTTGTCTATTCAGATTTTCTATTTCTTCCAGATTCAGTCTTGGTAAGTTGTATGTTTCTAAGAATTTTTCCATTTCTACTAGGTTGTTCAGTTTGTTGGTGGACAGCTGTTTGCAGTACATTTTTATGTTCATTTATATTTGTGTAGTATCAGTTGTAAAGTCTCTTCTTTCATTCATAATATTGATTTTAGTCCTCTGTCATTTTTCCATGATTAGTCCAGCTAAAGGTTTGTCAGTTTTGTTTATCTTTTCAAAGAACCACTTCTTATTTTTATTAATCTTTTCTATCATTTTCTTGTTCTCTATTTTGTTAGTTTCTGCTCTAATCTTTACTATTTCCTTACTTCTGCTAACTTTGGGCTTAGTTTGTTGTTCTTTTTCTAGTTCCTTGAGGTATAGAATTAGGTTGTCTACTTGAGGTCTTTCTTGTTTCTTAATGTATGTGTTTACTTCAGTGAACTAAGAACTACTTTTGGGACATTACATACATTTTGGTATGTCTTATTCTCATTTTCATTTGTCTTGACATACTTTTTTATTTCCCCTTTAAGTTTTTTTTGATCCATTGTTTGCTAAGGAGAATGTTGTTTAGTTTCTATATTCTTGTGAATTTTCTAGTTTTCCTTCTGTTATTGCTTCTAGTTTTATATCTTTGTGGTCAGAGAAGATTCTTCATATGATTTCAATCTTCTTGAATTAGCTAAGACTTGTTTTGTGGCCTAACATAAGTGCATGTGAGAAGAATGTATATTCTGCTATTGCTGCATATGTCTGTTAGGTCCATGAGGTCTATAGTGTTGTACAAATTGACTGTTTTCTTATTGATTCTCTATTGGGATGACCTTCCATTGTTGAGAGTGGAGTGTTAAAGTTCCCAACTATTATGCTATTGCTGTTTATTTCTCCTTTTAGCTCTGTAGTATCTTCAAGATACCTATAGTCTTACATAGACATCTGCACATTTGAAGAAGCAGTCACCTCTTCCAGCCTTTATGGACTGACTTCAGTAAGGGAAGACTTCTACCTTCATAAGTGGGTACAAAGGAGCATGCTGAGCCCCCAGGTCTAGTGGTATAGGGCACCAAGAGTGGTGGTGTATGGTGGCCCTGGGTCGGTGGGTGTGTTATATCTCTTTAGCTCAGACTACTGGGGTCCACATTATTCACAGCTATGTGTACCTTGGTGAGCACCTCAGGGGGTCCATAGTGGCTTCAGGTCCATTCTCATTTGCAAAAATATTTACATACTCAGATATAAACTCAGTGAATGTCACAGATGTTAAAAATATTTTTCCCATTTTATGATTGTATTTAATCCCACTTATAGTATTTAAAAAATTAAAATGAATTTTAAAAATATTTATGCATCAGATCTATCACTTTTTATTCCTTGGCTAATTTCTATACAGTTTCATTTTCCTTAATGTTAAAATACCCAAGCGCAGTCAATGCAGAAAATCCTTTAGAATAAATTCCAGATCAGTTAAATTGGTTATTATGGACAGAGATATAATGCTATTTCAATTTTAAAGTTAATTTAAGCTTAAAACATAGTTCTTATTTTTTCCTTTTCTTCAGTAAAGCGCATTTCCATAATTGATTTCACTTAGGGAATTTTTTTTATATCTACCTGTACAGAAATAATTTATTACCTTCTACTATGATCTTTCCCTCAGAGAAATGTTAAATCCTTTCTCATCCCCTTAATCTTTGATAATTACTTACTTACAGTGTAAAGGTAGAAATAATAGTTCATAAAATAAATAAAAATGTATTTTAAAGATCTTTTACAAGGTCCAATAAATCCATTATCAGAGGGAATGATTCCCTGAACTACATCATACAAACTATTCAAAGCACACATGACTCTAAACATTCACAGTTTTCTTATTCTTATATTCTGGCTGTTTAAATATGTACCTGGGTGTCTGTGAAGAGGAAAACCATATTCCTATCATCTACGCCAGCCAGTTTGTACAACTTCCTCAGGTCATCATGAAAACTATCATAATTATATCCTCGGTTCAGTTCAATCTGCAAACATTTGTAACCGCATATGTGAGCTGCAAGTCTTGAAAGAGACTGCTTTCCAGTGCCTCCAACTCCAACGAGCAGGGCATTGCCTCTTTCTTGACGAATCATGCGGGCAATCCTGCAGGAAGCAAAGCAGAGAAAAATGTTTTTCAAGTGTAGAGATGTGGCTTCTGTTTGGAGGACCTGCTCCAGCATGGAAGGTTGGTGACCAGTGGAACACCATCCCTTAGCAGAACGTCACAAGAAAATAAGCAGGGTGTGTCTGAAGTTCATGGTTCACGAAGGGAGATAAGTATTGCTGAGCTTTTTCTTAAAACCATATCTTCTCCATTTCCTATGGGCTGTTGACCTTGGTCATGCAAATTTAAAATACAGTAAAATCTCTTCTCCCTTTTTCAAAATGTGAACTTTTTTGTCAGGAATTCTGGTTGATCTAGGCCACTGCTTAAATTAACCAGTATATCAGAAAGCCCAGGTTCCACTTATAAGGATAAGCAAGCAGAAATATCACTGGACCTGGGAAAAGATATTGCAGTTTAGAAGGAGAAATCAACAGGAATTATCTGAAATGCGTAAGATGTCAACAAAATTTTAGAAAATTTCTGATTCATGCGAACAACAAGAATTTAAAAAGCATCGCAATCATGATACTCGAGTGAGCATTCAGAAAGGGGAAAAAAATCTGAGTTAAGGAAAAATTGAATGGAGATGGGAAATCTGACTATCAAAGTAAACACCTCAGCAAAAGATGGGCTTTGCAAATTGAATACCGTGGAAAGCTAAATAGGTGTAGAAGACAAACTCAAGGAGTTTACCCAGAATTTAGAGAGAAAAGGTAATGAATTAAAATGACAAGAGAGAAAATGGAAGGTAAGGAGGATAAATCTCAGAGAAATAAATGGACTCCCAGAGGCTACGCAATAGGAACTGCAGGAGAGACAAGGGCGTAGGAGTAATGCAACAGTAATTGAAATAAAAGAAACCAGCAGAGCAGAGCCGCAGATCGGAGGAAGTCACCGAAGGTCAGGACAAAAAACCAAACAGGATAGGCAAAACACTAAATATTTTCTAGGAGATATACAAATATACAATAATGTGTGTGTGTGCATGTGTGCGTATGTATGTATATGTAAAATAGAAATCTATATTTTAGACGTAACTGAAAAGTTTGTGAGCATCTAAAAGGTAGACATTATTTCCAAAGGGACAGGTAATCTTAGGTTGGCCTTAGGCATCTATTTTATGTGACATTCCATAGGGCAATGGTTAGACACGGAAAAACTATTGGGTTATTGCTCAGAGAATAAGCGATCTGCAAAACTGTCCTTAAAGATTCTTGGAAGATATATAAGGAAATATGAATAAATTTAAAAACCAAAAGGGAGGAAGGGATGTCAGTATAAAAGTAAGCAGTATATATGAGAATCAAGTTAGACTGTTAAATTGTAAAAAGACAATGATAATGTAAATAAACTTTTAAAAACATATGAAATGTAAAAATTATTTCTTAAATTAAAAAAAATTTTTTTTGAATTTTAAGCTATTATCTAAAATCTCAAATTGGGTTATCAGAAACTAGGAAATCATGGGAGAATTACAAAAGCAGGTTTAATTTCTCTCTTTTAACAGGAAGTTTATCAATTATATATCTATATTAGTTTTATTCACAATGCTGCTAATTGGAGAAAACAAGGTTCAAGTATTTGAAAATGGTAATGGTTTTAGTATTTTTAAATTATGAAAGTAAAACATGGTCATTATAACTGATGAATTAAATCTTTAGTATTTGTAAGCTCCATTGTGGGGGCCTGGATGCTGTCCGGTTCTCTATGAAAACAGTGGATGGCAGATAGGAGGGGCCTCACAAATATTTGTTAAATGAATTCACGTGTTGACTTGTATGCGCGTATTTACAAAAATGGGATTAACTTTACACCACATTTTGTTTTGCTAAATTATGTATTATGGACATTCTCATGATAGTAAACACAGCAACAGATATACATAATTTATTTAACCAGGGACATTTAGTTCTTTTTATGTTCTTGTTTTCATATTAACAATATTAAAAAACAGAGCTCAAAGCCAGCTGCAAATAGAATCTTTTCAGTCATAGAAAGAGAGTGAGCATGAAACAAAAGGAGGTCGCATTAAAAACAAACAGAAAAGAAGTTAGGATGGCATAAATTTGGCTGATAAAGCCATGTTTTAAAACAATATTGAATTATATGGGACTGTGGATGCGAATATAATGTGTCAAAGGCATAATGTTTAACTACAGGAGGCATAACACAACTTTGTAATCTATGTATGCTTATATTTGAAAGCACCGTACAATTTTAACAGTGGTTGTCTGTGGGTGAGGAGGTGGAATTACAAATAATGTTTTTCTAAGTTTTCTGTAATAAATATGTTTAGTACATAATCAGAAAGAGAATCATTTTTAAACAAAAACAAAGTACAGTAGTCCCCTCTTTATCTGCAGGGCTCATGTTCCCAGGCCCCCAGGTGTGCCTGAAACCAGATAGTACCGAACCCTAGATATACTGTTTTTTCCTATGCGTACATCCCTGTGATAAAATTTAATTTTAAATTAGGTACAGTAAGAGATTAATAATAACTTATTAAAAAATAGAACAATTATAACAATATAATGTACTAAAGTTAAGTGAATGTGGTCTCTGTCTTTTTTTCAAAATATCTTATTGCATTTCACTCACCCTCGTGGGAGGATGTGAGGTGATATACTGCCCACCTGATGAGATGCAGTGAGGTGAATGATGTGGGTGTTGTGATGTAGCTTTAGGCTACTGTTGACCTTCTGACAATATGTGATAAGGAGGATCATCTGCCTCAGGACCATGGGTGAGCATGGTCAACTAAAACTGCAGCTAAGGGGGAATTACTGTAGATGTATTTCTGCCTTGTAAGAAATATAAAAATGCCTTCCTTATGCAATACTGCTATCATTAAAATATCTTGGTAATATGAATTATTATTAATAAAATTATATTTATACCAAAAAAGAGACAAATGTCCTTTTTTATTCTGTCTCTGAAATTCAGTACACTGTTACCAAGTCAGCAACGTTGAAGTAATTAATTTCTATAGACTTCAAAAGCTGTGCGTTAGAGAACACTGATCAAAAGTTCTTATGCACCATCATCTTTGGTGGTAGGGGATAGGAGCTATGTAGTGTGAGCATGGAACAAGAAGTCTACAAGGACTTATTTGAAAAGTGCTCATCCAGGACAAAGCATAGACTCCTAGGTCATCACTCAGGTCTTCTGAAAGAGGAACCAGCTTTCCAATTTGTCTCCTCCGACTTCCACCCTCTCTGCCATGCAGACGAGCCCTTTCCCTGCCCTGACTGCCTTGGGAATACTGCTTTATCTAGAACAGGGGTCAGCAAATGATGTCCTGTGGGCCAAACCCTGTCTGCTGACGGGATTTTTCTTTTAAATTTCTTATGGCTAATGATCTAAGAATGGTTTTTAGATTTTTTAAATGGTTGACAAAACTTCAAAGAAGAGTAATATTTTATGATATGTGACAATCATATGACATTCCAATATTAGTGTCCATAATAAAGTTTTACTGAAACATAGCCATGCTCATTCCTAACTTATGGAAGGTGGCTGCTTTTGTGTTAGAGTGGCAGAGTTGAGTAGTTGTGACAGGGATTGTGAGGCCCACTGAACCTAAAACATTTGCTATCTGGCCCTTTACAAAAGAAGTTTGTTGGCTCCTTCCCTGGGATTCTTTGCCAACTCCTCCCCATTTCTATTGCTTTGTCTCTATCAAAGAACACATCTAAGAAAGGAAACCTCAGGTCTCCTGTTTGCTTATTTCTCACCAGTATGTACGTAAGTATAAAATCGATGGCTGAAGGGGAACACAATAGAGTTTTGTTATTTATCCCCATAATGCACAAGTGTTCTACAACAGATGAAATACAGAATATTATAAAAATCTTGCATTTTATTTGTTACTCTTTCCTTTCATGTACATTCTAGGGATTTGATTATTTTCAACTGAGATTATTGGAAATAAATGACTTGTCCATTTTTGCTTCCCAGTATTATTTTTTCTGTCAACTTACATATCCCTGGATAGAAAACTCCCTCCATTATGAGTCCTCCAAAGTTACATTTCTTTACTGCCGTGGATAGGAGATGGCTCTTCTAATTAGTGGCCTCTATTTTAATAGAGAGATCCCTTCTACCGTCCTTGCAGTGTGGTGATAACTCTGGGGCATGTAATGGATACAAACTGCCTTGTGCAAATTGCCATTTGAAAGCACAGACTCTGAAGTAAGTTTTTTTTTCCTTGAGTTGGGAAGACTTTTATCCACTTATCATTATGGGAAAAAAAAACCCTAAAATGTCATGGACAAATAGAAAAGTTGTATCTGCTGATGTACTGAATATTTAGTACCCTGTGTTTTGTCCTGTAACTCAAGTTCATAATGAAGCTCTTTCTGTTGCTAATCAGTAGTAGGTGTTTGAAAGCTCTTACTTCTAACAAGTAGGAATTCACATTCTTTAATTCTTAACTATTGATCCTCTCTAGAAAAAAAGACAACACATCTACATTGTTATTCACATGGCAGTCCTTTGTGTATGTGAAAACCAAATCTCTCTCTTTCTATGAATGGTTTTTAATTTCCTCCTGTAATATTTTAAACACACCGTGAGTAGCCTGGTGATTCTCTTTCACAAAAGTAAGAAAGATTATAAATACAATTAAGATGACTTTGCCTATCATCTGGTCTATTCTCCAGGAAGTTTCTCAGACTAAAGTACTGCCATTATTTTTTTCTTTTCAGGTTTAGAATCTGCCCAAACCAAGGGAATAAAAGTTGTTAGGAGATAGCATGTGAGTATTTTGGCAGGGGGTGGATGGGAAGCAAGTAGTATTTTGACAACCCAATGACAAACTATTTTATGTTACAACACTCGAGCTGAGATGAACATACATTCTTGAATTAGATTTAATTGAACAGCAGAAGTATAGGAAAGGTGAAAGACTTGATTGTTTATGGTTTATAGAAAGAAATCCTGGGGATTTAATTGTCAGTCTTGACAATTCAATGTCCAAAACTGAAATGTAGTTGACAAGGGAAAAATAGCCATTAAAAATTTGCTATGGTAGCAGACTACAGGAAGTCCTGTCCTCACACACATTTCACACTGCTTATCCCACAGAATATCAGATCCGGGCATCATGAACATTGAAGAATTATAAAGTGCTCAGTATGTTAAAGGTGGGAAATAATCTCTAACAGGCAATAGTGAAATAGATATGCCTGGAGAAGCTAAAGCTAAGAGGAGCCTGGTAATGATTTTTAGATATTTAGAGGGCTGTTACAAAAGAGTGGATCCATTGGTAGTACAGTGTAGAGGATACAGTCCATGATTCTGTAACATCTTCCTATGTTGATAGATAGTAGCTGCACCAGAGGGGTGAGGACTCAATAATATGGGTTGAACCACTCACTGTGTTGTACATTTGAAACCAATATAATATCAGTGACACTTTAATAAAAAAGATAAATGCATATATGTATCATAAAAAAAAGAGTGGATCCATTTTGGGTTGGAGGCACCTGCAGCAGGTAAAGCATGGATGCCATCCCAGCCTGCCAAAGACTTCAGACAATTCACCTAATCTCTCTGGCATACAGTGTTTTCCAGAAATGGCTGCAGTAATGTTTCTGGTCTTATTCTTTGGCCAATCAAGAGATAGGGTCCCTGAATCCTTCTAGTGAACCTGGGTGGGCCTGTATGATTCCTTTGAATAACAGAGTATGGGGAGAGGTGATGCTATGTGATTTCTAAGGCTAAGTTGTGAAGGGCCACTTGGCTTCTGCCTGGCTCTCTCTTGGGGCGTGAGCCTTAACAAACAAGTTTTAAAAGGCCCAGACACTCCAGTGCAGCTAGGCTAGAGAGATACATCCTCCACAGGAGAGAACTTCTGGGAGCTGGGAGTGATAATGAAAAAGGAAGCCACTAAGTGTTACAGGGGCTTATTATGTAGCACCAGACCACTGGAACATTCTCTGAGCCTTAATTGTAGAAAGATTATTAAACTGAGCCACAGAGAGGTGTTACCACATCATGCTTTGGTAGTCACACTGAGTGCCATTGTTATTACTGCTCTACAGGATGGAACTGGATGCCAGACGCCACAGGGAGCAGATTTTGCCTCACCCTTGAAGGGTCATGAGCCACTTAAAAAAGTGGTGTGTGTCCCAAGGACATACTTACACATGTGTCAGGGTACCTATATGTCCCTCAAAAGATACTTGCAATGGGTAAGAGTCAGACTCATAAGCAGATGTAATCTATAATCCTTGGATTCAACTAGTTTTGCTATAATCTTGAATTCTTTCTTTCTTTAGGCATGCATGTAATCAGCCTTGTTAGCCTGTACGTGTGTCTCTGTGAACTACTTAAATCCTTTTTGTAATGAGACAGGACATATAACAAACAAAAACAATCTTAATATTTAGCAAAAACAATAACTCCTGGGATTCCACAGAAAGTCTTTGTCATATATATTTAAAATATAGCAAAAAAGAACTTTTAAATTATAGCAAGATTTTCTAGTAGACTTTAGTCCATTTATTATTCTATTTAAAGTGCTTTATACAACTTAATCCTTACTTTTTAATACAAAAGAAATTAGATCAATGCATTATTGGGCACCTTATAGTACTTTACCTTGAAACATGTTCTATAGCATCCTGGAAGAACACCAACTTTACTTCTTTGGGATTTATAAGATTATAATCATCAAGATAGTCCTGTAGGACATTTGCAATTTTCTCCATATCAGGCATGTCATCATAAATCCGATCAATGTTATCTGCTCCAAACTACAGAAGATTTATGGGAGAGAAACCAAGTTGTATAAATTCTAATATGGAAATACATATAAAACATACATAACCTTAGGAAGGAATATTATTTTATCTTTGTTAATGTTAAATTATTTGCTTATATATATGCTAGTAAGGCTTTAAAACCAAGGAAATGATACTAAGAAACTCAGATTATCATAGATAAATGAAAATCCACTTCATTTAATGTCAAGTGGTACATTGGAATTTCAGTGATCTTTGCAATAAAATTTCAGAGCTTGGAAACAGGTTTTCAATTTGTCTTACTATACCTTACTATGATTTCAAACTTTTTTCTTAGGTTGTTGACATCAGAAAACCTAAAAGGGTTGAAAGTTATGCCCTGGCAGACTGTTAGGGTTATGAAAAATCGTGTCAGAACTATGTGTTTTTATACAATAGTCATCTAATTAATCATTGAGAATGAAATTTAGTGTATATTATAGGGAACTGAGTTCCTGTTGGGATCTACTGATGATGTCTTTTTCTTTGCAGAAGCAATTGCCCAGGGACATTTTCATTTGGAACCATTGACTAAAATACATACAGGCAATGAAAGAAGAGTCCAGCTCTTTGGCCTCTGCTTTATTTCCCTGTTGACAAAAACATCACTAGAAACACTCAGGAAATATAATCACCACCTGAAAACAAATTTTCAACTTTGTTTTTAAAATACACTTAAATAGCTGTATTTCCTACAAATAAATTATCTTTATTGTTTGTCAGGAGTTACCAGGGTGGTGAGACATTGCATACATATAATGTAAAGACATGTTCATTCATTTGTTTAACCATCATGGACTGAGACCCTTCTATATACCTAGCTCTGTGCAAGAAGCTGGGGATTCAGGGTGGACAAACAGACATGGCTCCTGTCCTTTTGGAGGTACTAGGAATGCTGTACCGAAATGAGAGTCAGCTTGGTAAAACAAGATGGTTATCTGCCAACGTAGTTAGGGTGTCAGATGGAAGAATTACTGGAGGTAGTCCTAGAGGGTAAAATTAGGGCTTGTGTGTAGATGTTACTGGGGGGACAGACTTGAAGAGTGACATATAAGGAAAATTTTGCTACTAACTAGAGCTACCCTGAAATGAAGAGGGCAGCACCGCTGACTAGTTTCCGTTACTGGAAGCATCTGCACAGAGGCTGAGCAGCTGCATAGTGCAGGGAATATGGAAATTCGTAGGGCCAGGATCCTCACCTGACCCTAAACTACTTGATGATGTAACTGGACTGCTGCTAGGCTAATGCTCCACACCCTAGGCAATAAGCTATTATTAACTGAGTCACTATATAAAGAGCTCTGCTCAGAGCTCTGGGTGGAGGCTGAGATGAAGGAGGATCACAGGCCTCCAGACTGCTGGATGCAGAGGTGATTCTAGAGCTCAAACTATTGCCAGCAAAACAAGCCAAGTAATAAACCCTTTCACTCCAAGAATGTTCCATTGTTATTTCTCAGTCTCAATGAATCCATAGTGAACTTGCTGGGGGCTGAAACCCACCAGCAAGACACATAGATACAGTGAGGGGGATTCCAGTCCTGAGTTAACTGACTGAACCTCTCTGCTTCCTTCCCACTCAAATACCTGATGGATCTCTTACTCAAACTATTACAAAAACGAATGTGATTAGATCAGGAGTCAGCAATCTTTTTCTCAGAAGAGCCAGATAGTAAATATTTTAGTCTCTGCAGGCCATATAGTCTCTGTTGCTACTATTCCACTCTGCCTTGTAATGTGAAGGCAACCATATAAATAGTATACAGTCAAATGGGTGTGGCTGTGTTTCTATAGAACTCTATTTACAAAAATGGGCAATGGGCAGATTTGGTCGATGGGCCATAGTTTGCTGATCCCTGGTCTAGGTATTTCATCTTCATAGATGCAAAGTTTTAGTAGAATATGAACCTGAACCAGAAAATAGTAAGTAAATATTTTATAATAATCTTCAAATGCAGCCAAGTTAATACAATATGCTTGCCTTAATGAAATCTCCAAATATGATGGGCTTAGTCAAAAAATATTCCAGGCCAATTGTAATTCCAAAATGCTTATCTATTCAAAAAACAAAATGAATTTTTAATGTAGTGATGAACTTGAATGCAGTATTTTAATAAGATTAATATCAGCTGTTACTTAGAAGGTATAAATGAAACTAAGAGAAAGTCCTGTGAACACCATACTATTTTAGACTGGTTGATAATTTCCCAGATTTCAGACTAAGAGTATGTAATAATAATAATAATAATGAACATTTTATTAAATAAGATATTGAATACATACTTAATAAGTACTTTATAAACATCCTGATTTCTTATCAGACAAAATATTGTTTCTCCTATTTTCTCTCCTTTCCTTGAAATTTTATACTGAATTAAAAATATTAATCCTTCTGAATTTCAATAAAATGATTTTCAGAGTATTTCATATGCTTTTGCATATTTGAATCATTGGAGAGGAAAACTTTTACTCACAGATGACTAAAATTAATTTTCCTTTATCTTATATAAACCCATTTTAATTTTTTCTTTGTAGAAACCAAATTGCTTTTCTACTAAAAACAAACAAACAAAACAGCTAAATAAAGATTAATATTTACTGGCCATTTCTGTCAAAATAGCATGGAAATAGTGCTTATCTTCATTATTAATCAAACGGTCATGGAAGACTCTCTGACATTCGTGGCAAAAGAGTCTAAATATCTGTATTTCTTCTCTCATTGTTCCTGGATCACACTGGAGGATACCTGTTTTTTAAGAAAGGGAAAAAAGGAAAATTCTACATTTATAGAATATCTAGTAATAGTTTAATTAACTAGAAATCCTTAAGTCCAATGTTATCCTCATACTACCATAAATGTGTCCTTCCCCAGTGGATAGCTACATAGAATCATGGAGACCTCATTTTTGAAAGTAAAACTGGGACACATTATCTGACAATAGCTTTTTTCTTGTTTTTGATGTTACTTTAAATGAGGATGTGAAGTGGTCAGACTTCACAGTATAAGCAATGTTCATCTCGTTATTACACTGGGTTGCAACATGTTAATTGAGGAGTTTTGCATCTCTGTAATATCCATATATATTCATCTAGCAACTCTTCTCTCCCCCGAACCTTTACACTGTTTTCAAAACACCGATTCCCTCTCTCATTCTTTCCTGAAGTTCAGTCCTCACCACATGCCCTCGGTCCTTCTGGCTTCTACCAGTAATTTAGTAAGTGAAGTGTTTCCTTGAGTTCTGTGAGCTGCTCTATCAATTTGAGGAGGTGGTTGTGGGAACCTTCAATCTATGCTAGTAGGTCAGAAGCGCGGGGTGGGGCACGGCAGTCCTGCAGGACTGAACCTTTACCCTGTGG